TGGAAGCGCACCTCAGTGCATGCAACGCATCGTGCGAAAGTGTGGTTGTTTCGCTCGTAAACGAACGGTAGTACCAGGCTTTCGTCGATCCAGAGGCGTACAAATGCTTTCCAGTAGAGCTCAATCATTTCTTCTCGCCATGTCACTGTATCACCGATTCCAATCGGCTCCCGATAAGCCTTGCATTTTTCTGCTAGTTCGACTATACCGTAGAACTGGAAGAAGCAGATGAGTAGGAAAATCTCAAAATTTCAAAAGTTTTCAGTGGCTCATCTCGGTGGTCCGGATGTAAAAACAGCGCTACTTCCTCATCCCCGTTTCTTTACTGGAAGTGGAAATGGGAGAAAAAAGGGAAGGGAGAGAAAGCAGAAAGGGAGTGATTCTAATACTTCCCTAATTCAGTTAGAAGGACAAACATACTTACTAGGAGGCTTAGCTAAAAGAGACAAGCAGTCCTAGAAGTGCAAAATTTTAGGGAACTTTTGAGACAGGGATCCGTTCAAAAGACGAGACGAACTCCAGAATCCACGAAAAAGTTCCCAGTAGAAGAGTAGAATTTGAAATCTTTTAGTCGCACATGGGTAAGGGACATTCCTCTAATGTTTTAGCCGTCTAGCCTCTCGTCCCCAAGCTAGCAATTTTCCCGTCAAAATTTTCACGTGCTGTACGCGATTCCCGATAGTCCTAAAGAGCTGAATTTGAAATCTTTGGTCGTGCGTAAGCAGGGAACATTCCCCTAAAGTTTCAGTCTCCCAGCTTTTCTCATTCATGAATTAGCAGTTCTCCCGTCAAAACTTTCAAGTGCTTGCACGTGGGGACCAGACGTGCGAGAAAGTTGGTACCGCGGTCCTGGGTTGGCACTTGGCTGCGGAACCAACTGGCAAAATTTTGGCGCCAGAGCTTGTTTGGTTGTCGAGTTGGAGTACTCGGAGAGACGAACACACACACACGCCAGGGTCGTTGCAATGTGCGTTTTTGCCACCTGTTGCAACGCTCTAGCGCTGCCTGGCAAAACGCATAAAAATACACTTGAAATGCAAGACCTCGGCTTCGCGCTCGATTTCAGCTAATTCTCGCTCAGAGTTCGGCGGAACAAAAAATCCA